TGCATTTTCAACTTTGCTGGCTGATATTGAGTTATTCAGAATTTTTACATCTTCTTGATTCACTTTTGGTAATTCATATGATAGGAATTTGCCAATTTCTTCTGTGTTTTCCATCCTATGAGAGTAAAGATTTTCAAAGTAGATAATGATGATCTTCTGAATTTCCTCAGGATCTATAGTGATTTCACCCTTTACATTCCTTATTGCATGAATTTGAGTTCTCTCCTATTTTTGATAAGGTTGTCTAGGGGTTTAACACTTTTATTTATTCTTTCAATGAACCAACTTTTCATTAATTCTTTGCATTGTTTTCTCCATCTCAATTGTGTTAATTTCTGCTCTGATCTTTATAATTTGCTCCCTTCTTTGGGCTTTGAGCTTGACTTGCTCTTCTTTTTCTAGAAGCTTGAAGTGCAGCATTAGGATATTTATTTGTTTTTATTCTGTTTTCCTGATGTAAGAGTTCACCACTATAAATTTCCTTGAGGACTGCTTTCATTGTGTCTCATAGATGCTGGTAAGTTGTATTTGCATTTTCCTTTGATTGTGGATATTGTTTAATTTCTTCTTTAATTTCATCTGTGACCCATTGGTTGTTCAGGAGGGTGTTACTTAACTTCCATGTGCTTATGGAGTTTTTGCGATTTCTTTTGTCAGTAGTTTCCAATTTCATTGCACTATGGTCCATTAGTATGCATGGGATAATTACAGTTCCTTTGCATTTATTTAAGCATGTTCTATGGGCTAGTATGTGGTCTATTTTAGAGAATTTCCCATGTGCAGCTGAGAAGAATGTGAATTCTGATAGTGTTGGGTGGGACACTCTGTAAAGGTCTACTAAGTCCATCTGTTCCCAAGTTTGGTGCAGCTCTGTTATTTCTTTGCTGATTTTTTTGTCTAATTGATCTATCTCTTAGTGAGAATGGGATGTTACAGTTCCCTTTTATAATTGTGATATTGGTTATTTGATTTTTCATGTCCATTAATATTTGTCTTATCTAGTTGGGTGCTGCCGTATTTGGTGCAAACATATTTATGATGGTTATCTCCTCTTCTTGCGGTTTCCCCCTAAGAAGTATGTAGTGACCTTATTTATCTCTTTTGATCATCCTTGAAGTTCACATTGTCTACAAACAGAATAGCTACCCCTGCTTTTTTCCAGGTTGCTGTTGTGTGGAGTATTGTTTTCCATCCTTTGAATTTCACTCTATGAATTTCCTTTTGAGTTAAATGTGTTTCTTGTATACAGCATATTGTTGGATTTTTGTTTTCTTGATCCAGTCTGCCAGTCTGTTTCTTGTGTTTGAGGAATTGAGCCATTTATAGAGATGGTTATAACTGATATGTATTAGCTTATCCTGGTCATATTATTTTCTTGCTATTGGTTCCCTATTTCCCCCCTCTGATTAATTGCTTGCCCTTCTTGGTGGTTTCTTTCTGTTGTTATTTTTGGAATTGTGGCCATTTTTATCTTTTTCTAGAATATCTTTCAGTACTCTTTGTAGGGTTGGTTTGGCAGTCATGAATTTTTTCAGTTCTTCTTTGTTGTAGAAGTATCTTATTTCTCCATTAATTTTGAAGGATAGTTTTGTAGGGTACATCAATATGGGTTGGAAGTTGTTTTCTTTCAGGACCTAAAATACTTCACTCCAACCTCTTCTTGACCTGATGGTTTGTGTTGGGAAATCTGCTGTGATTCTGATGGGCTTCCTTTATAGGTGATCTGTTTCTTTTCTCTAACAGCTTTTAATACTCTGTTCTTGTTCTGAATTTCTGGGATCTTATTATATGTCTGGGTGTAGATTTGTTTTGGTTAAGGCTAACTGGAGTTCTATATGCCTCACTTACCTGTATGTCAGATTCTTTTTCCATGCTTGGGATATTTTCTGCTATTATTTCTGTAAATAGTCCTTTCATGTCATTTGCATTGACTCTTGCTTTTTCATTGACACTTATCAGTCCTATATTGCTTTTCTTTGCATCATCTTGCAGCTGTGAAATTGTTATTTCCTGGTTCCTTGTTACTTTTAAGAAATCTTTTCTTTCATGGTTGCTAGCTGCAATGCTGTGTTCAAGGTCTGAAAGTCTATCTTCAGTTTTTTTGAAGCAGTTTTGCCAGCTTTCAATGGAATTTTTAATTTCCTGGATATCTCTTTGAATCTGTTTCAGGCATTCTAATTCTTTCCTATATTGTTCATTCAAGGTTTCCATCATGTTTCTATGCTCCTCTATTCTTTTATGTCTTCTTTAGATGTGCTGAACAATTATTTCATTATTGTTGTCATTTCATTTTTTACCTGAGATAATTTATGATGTGATTTTCTCGATAGCCTGATGGAGTTGTTTCTTTACATCAGTTGCTACTATTTCAGAAATTTCATGTGTGTGAATTCCAATTTCTTGTATGTTGATGTCTCTTGGACTTGATCTCGGTGGGCTAGAGGTCTGAGATTGCATTTTGCTCCTTTGTCTTGACATTTTCTATTTCAAAAAGATATTTTTATTTTGTTTTCTGTGATGATCCTTATGAGTTGTGGTAGTAGGTAGCTGGATCACTAGTATAAAAGCCTCTCTTGGAAAAGTCTGTTCTTCAAGGATATCTTCTATGTATTGGAGATTCTTGGTTTATGTCTGTCCAAAGATCCTACATTTCCAATTAATTGAGAGTGGGACATTGGTTTCTGTTTGGCTCTGTTCTCAGTCTCTAGGTGTATGGCTATAGTGAGGTTATTACCCCAAAGCTTCCCAATATTGTTACCCAAGGGAGAACAAGTGATTACAACAGATAAGACATCCTAGCTGCACTAGTACAATTAGTAATAATGATAGCATCAAGCACAATTTAGAAATTGACGAACTGTGGTAACTATTGGTTTTGTACTTTAGATCATAAGAGCAAAGTCTATAGTTATATAACAGAACCAATCATAAATTAGAAGTTTGTATGCAAAGTTTTTCCCCTTGTTAGAGTGGATTTACCCTGGGTTCCTCTGGCCAAGCCATTTACTGAGTCCCTGGCACATCCGGCACTGGCTGCCCCTTCCTTGGTGCAGGTGGAGGAGCCAGGTACTGGTTCCTGTGGCCATGCTAGTTGTCAAATCTTGAGCACTTAGCACACTGGCTGTCCTTTCTGAGGTGTAGGAGGATGAGTTAGTCAACTGAGTTCCTCTGCCAGAGCTGGCTGCCAAGTCACAGGCACTTCCCACAGTGCAGGGGGATGGGTGAAGCCATAATTGTTTTTAAAAATTTTATTTTAAATGGTTGTTTTTAGAAAAGTTATGACATTTTAAAGAGGTGACTATGTCTACAAGGTTGTTAGAAAAGCATTTTATTCCTTCATACTATTGCCCTGTCTCTAGAGGCAACAGTATTTTTTTTTAACATTTTATCTGTATCTTTTTGTATTTACTTCTACCTGTAAATAACATTACCCTTTTTTCTTTTCTATATTAAATATTACGAACTTTCTACATGAAAGATTATTTAGCAAAAGTTTATTACCTCATCTACAGTTCCAAACACATACATGTTTCCATTCAATAAATAATTTTAGGTTGTTTCTCCCGTCTTTGTCCTCTTCCCTCATATGCACATTATGATCACTGGAGTCATTTTATAGATAATATCCTTGGTCCTAACTCTAAAGAATCATTAAGATTTTTCAGACAAGGATATCTCATTTAAGCTGAACCTATTAAGAGTTTACATCTTATGACATTTACAATTTAGACTGAGAGATTTTGCCGCTCTGTTTACTAAGATGGTAACATAAACATGTGGAGGTCACTGGCAGTCATACCTACCAATGAGGACTGGATTAGTGGTAGGTAGCTGAACAATTTTTATTTAATGGAAATTTAGGAGTGACAATCTGGTTTGAGTGTGTGTATGTGTAGTAGTAGTGCTACAAGGACTTGGGCTGAAGCTGCTACTAGTATGCTAAGTTTAACTGGAGTAACTTGAAAGATAAAGTTGATTCAAGGTACAAATTAGTTTTTACTTAAAGAAAAGAACAGAAGAATTGCATAAGAAGAACAGACATGACGAGCAGATGGTCTTAATGATTTTTAAAGTTTCTTCTTGAGGTCTGACTGTATTACTGTTCCTGGCTTTTGTGTGATACCTCTATAACTCTCTGATAAATTCTGTTTATTATTATGACAGGGTATTCCTTGAATACCTTGTTACCTGCAAACAACAAAGTCCTTAAAAACCAGAATCAAAACCCAAATTATCATGATATCCTTGATCAATCTTGATTATGGTTTTCAAAACAACTATGAGGTTGCTGCAAAGTAACTCAAAAAATAGCTGGCATCTTTCTCTCAGATTGCTGGTTCATACTTTCCCAGGATAGAGAGATAATTAAAGGGAGTTTATAGCCACTTAGGTAAGAAAAATGTAACAAAGCAGATTAGGAAATCACATAAGCAGAAATCTGAAAGCAGTGTTTGCTACATATAATAGCAATAAAAATGATGCATGCATAATCAATTAAGAATTGTCCTATAATGACAGAAAATTCATGACTGTTGAAGCTGAATGATGAGTAACAGGATTTATCACAATAGGTACATGAGTATATATGATGTTTTTCTCTATTTTTTAATAACCCAGGAAAGCTGCACTGAGCCACACTCCCTTCTCTTTTCTAAATTTGGAGATAGGCCTTGAACTCGCAGCAATCACCATCCCTCAGTCTCCTGACTGCTGGGATTACAGACACGCACCAACATGCCAAGCTCATTTTGTTGTTTAAAGAGGTTGTTCTGATAGGACCTGTTAATACTTTGGAAGCACCGAAAGTCATAAATAGTTTCTGTAAAAGACTGAACAAATAAAAACTAACTTCCCAGCAATTTAAGAGATCCAGGCAACAACATTTGATACTAGATTAAAAAAAAAAGATTAAAATTTTTTCTTTATTTCAACTAAAAAAATGACAAAATAACTACATATTCTTGAAAACTGAATCTAGCTGTAAAGAGTGAATAACTCACAGGTGTTCCTGGTGCTACTCGGGACACAATTACAGGCATCTTCTGGTCATATCCTCCCTTGATAAGGGAATAAGTTAAGTATTAGTTAAATATTAACAAAATAAGACATTTTAATGTGAAAACTCAGTACAACATAAATTCCATCTTACCTTTACATTGAATCCAAATCTTCCATTTTCATCAGGTTTCATTCTGATTAGAACAAGATTATCTTGTGGAACACCACCATTAGGCTTGAAAAGACAAAAATAAACATAAATTTCCTCACCTGTTATCTGTCCTTCAGATATACATGAAGCATGCTTTCTGTATAGTTGTATTATCTACAGTATTAAAGAATCATAATTCTATTTGAATTATTAATTCTGGATAATATTTTTTTTGACTAATAACTTAGAGATATGTATTTTCCATGCCTTCTTGCCATTACTTTGCACCAAGAACATTGGCAAATCAAAAGCACTTGATATCTATTTCCTCTCATCTTATTCTACCACTCTGATTTTCACCCACACCACTCTACTACAAAGGTTAAGTACACCAAAGATTTTCACATTACTAAATACACTGCCCTACTAGATTCTCATCTTCCTTGACTTAACTGTAGCCTTTGACTTTCTTCACATCAGCTAGTTGCCTAGTTTTTCTTTTACCTTTCTGTCTGCACCATCTTAGTCTCCTTTACTGTTTAGTTTTTTCCATCTCTTTTATGTTTACAACTTGGAGGGCTGAAGGCTCTAATAAAACCTTTTACTTAAACATCTACATATTACTTTCTTGGTGATTTCTGTTTTATGATTTTTAAATATCATTTATTTGCCACCAACTACCCATAATTAGCACAGATCTCCCATTTCTAGTCCATCCAATCATACATCCAAGTATATTCATCTTCAAACCAACTCCTAGAATGGATCTCAAACTTAGCATGTCCTAAATTGAACTCCTGATATTCTACCCACACCTGCTCCATCCGTAATATTTAACATCTCAATAATTTCCAATTTTATCCTTCTAGCTAGTCAGAATAAAAATACTGACATTACTTGATTCTCTCTTGTTTCATATGTGATTCACTGGCATATCATGTGAATATGCCAGAAGAGTCATATTTCATTTTTTCTACTGCCATAATCCTGGTCTAAATCACCACTACTTTCTGGGAATACAGCAAAGCTTCACAACTAGTACGTCTGCTTCTGCCCCATTTTCAGTCTATTTTCAACTCAACAGCAAGAGTAATACTATAACCATGTAAGTAACATCATGATACTTCTCTCCTGAGATATGTCACTTCCTATCTCACTCAAGGATAAAAAGTAAAATCCTTGTAATACAAGGCTTTTGGATCTAGCCTATCTCCTCATTTGATCTTTTTCTTCTAGCCATTGGTGTTGTTTGATTATATCCATCATAATCCTGTTGCTATGGTTTCAATGTGTTCCCCAGAAGTTTACGTTTGAAACTAAACCCCAAATTTATAAATTAATAGTATTTGGGAGGTATGACCTTTGGGGAAAAAACAGGACCAGACAGGGTCTTGAGTGCTGGGACCCAGCATCAGTGGCTTTATTAGAAAAAAAGACTGGAGCCAGGTGTGGTGGTGCATGCCTGGAATCCCACTACTTGGGAGGCTGAGACAGGAGGATTGTTGTGAGTTCAACAATGCCAGCCTGCTCTACACAGTGAGTTCAGGACCAGCCTGAACTACATACCAAGACCCTATCTCAAAAAACAAACAAACAAACAAAACTCCAAGTTAGCATGCTTGTTGTGCCTTGTCATGTGACACCATGTCATGATACAGCAAAAAAGGCCTCCATCAGAGCTAGTACCGTGTTGTAGGACTTCTCAGCTTCCAGAATCATGAACTAAATAAACCTCTATTTTTTAAAAATAAATTACCCAGTCTGTGGTATTGTTATAGTAATAGAAAACACATTAAGACACCTTTGTACCTGCTATTCCCTTAGCTTTCTTGCCCTTCCACAAGATATTTACATGGCAAATCACTAAATTCATTCCTTGTCCACACTATCTAAAAGTGCTATACAACTGAAATTCTCTAATTTCTGCTTTATTTACATTATGTAATATTATTCATGGCACACAGCAGGTGCTCAGAAGTAATTTTTTTTTTTGTCTTTTTGAGATAGGGTCTCACTATGCAGTTTAGACTGGCATTAAGCTCACTCTGTAGCCCAGGCTGGTCTCAAACTCACAACAATCCTCTTGCTTCAGCCTCCTGAGTGCTAGGATTACAGACATGTGGTACCACGCCTGGCTTAGAAGTAATTTTTGAATATAGAAACAAATTAGATTATAAATTATATGATAGCAAGGACCATGTCTTACTTATCTCTGTATGTCCATCTCCATCAATCAATGTGTCTAGCACTCAGTAAGATCTCAATAAATACAAATCAATGCATGAATAAATGATATACTAGAGTTACCACAGAGGTAGTATTAGAATTGTTATTGATTTTTGGGTTCTAATCTTTTTTTTGATATGTCCATGGTAGTGAAGCAGTAAGTTTGGGAGAAGAGAATGGTTGCCTTTTCATTTTCAACTTTAGATAATGCAAGAGACTAAGGGTGAAGAAAGAGAAGGCAATGAGGAGAGTGGCTACCAAAGGCAGGCCAATACCTGCTGTGGACCTGTCTCTGTTGGCATTTCACTTCATTTCCTGGTGGCTTTTAAAAGTGCCAGAACTATCTATATTTATTTGTCTTTATATTTCTTCAGGAACAATTATCCTTATAATAAACTGACAATCTCATGGTTTATTTAAATCCACTTCAGAAACCAATGAAAACTGATAAAACCAGGGTCTTCTAACAATTTATCAGTTTATTGTGGTTTTAAAAGATAGTCTCTGAGGCAAAAATACTAAAACAATTCATAAATTATTTTGTAAAACACAGAGTGATTATATACTCCAAAAACCTGTATTCAATTTCAAAAGGCTGATGAAAATGATAGTCTCTGCACTAAGTGATTATATAGCAAAATTAGTTGTATTTAATGGATTACTACTACTAGTGTTTGTTCTGAAAGTGTAGGTATGTTATGCAAGACTGAAGTTAACATAAATTTGTCAATTTAATTTCTAAAGCTATAGGAATTTTGTGAAGGAAGATAAGAGGAAAACTCCATAATTGTGTAATTATAGTATAAATCATGACCAAAGAATATGATAAAAAAGAGAAACAGGTGGCTGGGCATGGTGGTGACACTTATAATCCCAGCTACTCAGGAGGGTAAGGCAGAAAGAAAACAAGTCCAAGGGCAAACTGGGCCACTTAGCAAACCCCTGTCTCAAAATAAAATTTAAACAAAGGGCTAAGGATATAACTCAGTGGTGGAGTGCTTGGCTAGCATGCATAAGGTCCTGGGTTCAATTCTTAATACTGTGAGTGAGCAAGTGCATAAGAGAGGAAGTTGTGATTTACAACTAAAATATGCTACAATGAAAAATAAATTGCATTTAGGATTAAAGCTCAAAGAAAAGTGAGAATATCTGAAGAAGCTACTTACAGTAGACTTTTCAGGGGAAGAGGGAACATCAAATGTTTCATCAGTATGGTTTTCCAGATCTTGTTGAGACTGTGAATAATGAATTTGGTTCCAACTGTTTTTCTTAGATTGTTTGGGTGGTAAAGCTGGAGGCTGCCCATCTTCAGGAGTCTCTTGTGAACTAGATAATGAAAAGCGGGGAAAAACCAAATTTTTGCAAGTTATTTTTTTAAAAACTGTATTTACAATGGGTAGGAGATAAACTTTAAGCACCATATTTATTTGTGAGTACTCCTTTTTAATAAAAAATGTCTTGCCTTTAAAATAGCAAATCTGATTTCCTACTTTATCAAATCTGTAAGAAATTATATGATATACCGGACATGGTGGTGCATATCTGTAACCCCAGCATTTGGAAGCTGAGGTAGGAAGAATGTCGTGAATTTGAGGACAGCCTAGGCTACATAAGTGAATCCCAGGCTAGCCTGAAACACAGTGAGACCTCTCTCAAAAACAAACAAATAAACAAACAAAAAACCCCCAAACCAAGCAAACAAAAAGAAATTGTATGATAAAATATACTTCAAAGATATTCTTATGGAGATGTTTATTAATTTGCTATCACGCTGTACATATCTTTCCCCTAAAATTTATTTTCTGAGGTTTTCATAGTGGAGTTATGAGTAGCCTAAAAATAAGGCATGGAAAGAGAAATCAAGCTGAGAAATGGATTATTCCAAATGAAATACTAGTACAGTATAAAAGAATTTAAGTAAATGACTTATTCTCTTTAACATGCCTCATTTGAGTGATGCACTCAATAAATGTGATAAGGATTAGAAGAATGTTGAGGTAATCACAGAAGAGACAAAACTGGATGAAATACTGTAAATTATTTAAGCAAAAATCCAATTAACATTAGAGAGCATAAACTGCAGTTTATGCAGTGGTAGCAGGAACTGATACAGCTGAACAGTACAGGAGAAATTTCAAGTTAGAAATTGTAGGTTCTAAAAACAAGCACAGTATAGAACATTACTTGTATATTTTCCACAAAGGCCAGAAGGGGGAACCAGTGGTTTAATTTAGGAAGTAAGCATTCTTGGAAGTTAAGTTTGGAAGAACAGAAAAGGGTAAAATGGTTCCAGTGAAGAGCACTGACCATCAGTGGAATTATTATCTATCTTAGATGGCAGGAGTTCTTAGGGGAAATGAGAGGATTACTGTTTCACTATGGCAGAACAGTCAAGAGAGCTGATAGCTGTTATGCCAAGCCATACAACTGCTGCTTTAGTACTCAGGCATATATTTCAAGTAGTGTATAATCACTTTTGTTGACTGACAACAGATACCTAACATTCAAGCTGTAATGTCTTGAGAAAGTAGAAGTATACCAAGAGTCTTAAAATATTCACCTTCCCCTGGTTGACAAGCAGGCTTGGCCACATGACTTGCTTTGGCCAATGAAGTGTAGATACAAGTGGTACATGCCACTTTTGAAAGGACACATTAAGAAACTGTTCAAGTTTATATCCCTCCTGGCAAGCAGTTTTTAACCTGCTATTTTCAATTGCCAAGAACCCAAACCTCTAAGGACCAACACGGAGTATAACAAAAAATAGTGAATGATTAAACTGAAAACACGTATTACAATAAAAGACATGTCACTAATAGCTCTCAAAGTACTCCTGCTCATCTTGATCATACATATCCCATCATTCTTCCCAGTTTAAAATAGTATCATTTATACCTACAATAGCATGGCTGGTTGGCTGTTTGGTTGTTTGGTTGATTTTGTGTGCTGGGGATTGATCGCAGGTCTGAGCTCTACCACTAAGCTATAACCTAGCCCCAGAATGACTTGAAAGAGTCGTTTTCAGGACATGCTCCTAGGATTTTTGTTAAAGCCTCAGGTAGACAAAAGGGCTGCTAAGCTTACATCTTATTTTATAGATTGGCTTCTGAGAAGCATTCCATTAGAAGAATATATTTCACTGCTACAAAAAGTTTAGGAATCTCTGATTTAAAATAACTTTCCTCTTGCCTTTTCCAGTTATTTACTTGAAGGTGCAACTATAGAATGTAGTTGTGAGAATGCAAGCTCTGAAGGTTATACCACTTCTCATTACATGACCTTTACTGACTTGTTTTATCTCATATTAAAGCCCCAACCTCTACTGGTCTTGCTTTTTGCTAAAAAAAAAAAAAAAAAAAAGTTTCTGTTAGAATTTAAAATGTTACCATTTATAACCAAAATCAACCAACCAACCAACCATGCAACTTTGGGTATAAATGATACTATTTTAAATTTAAATTCTAATATTTGGGTTATAAATGGTAACATTTTAAATTCTAACAGAAACTTTTTTTTTTTAAGCAAAAAGCAAAACCAGCAGAGATTAGGGCTTTAATACATCCATATTTAATTGATAATTTTTCTAACTCAATGGTTTCAATATATTTAAAATTACTAATTTGCCTAAAATGATCCAAAGGATGGAATGGGGGAGGTATCCGGGGCTCAAGATATATACTGTACAAAATTTACCCACATAAATTTTATGATCGCTTCTTGGCCTTTTGGCTAAGATCAAGAGTAATACATAAATTTTGTGAGCCAGGTACGGTGGTAATGCCCATATCCTAGCTACTTGGGGGCAGGACTGAGGCAAAAATATTCCAAGTTTGAGGGCAGCCTGGAAAACTTAGTGAGATCCTGTCTCAAAATAAAAACAGGGAGGTAGATCAGCATTTCTTGGATTTAATTCCCAGAGACAGACATACACACATATAGAATAAGATAATTTGATTAGGCCTCAAGAATTACTTTATACCTTTCTAAAGTTCCAAAATTAGAAAACACACGATTACTAGAAACTGATCAAAATTTATAATTATAACTTTAAATAAAACATTAGATTTCCACCAATTACATCTCTTAACAACTCATTCCCACAGATGTCACCGTGCAATGTGCTTTAGTCCTACTCCCCCATTTCTTATAATGTGTACATATAATCAAAATGTTTTACAAAGATAAAAGTGAGCAAGGCTAATCTCTCCTTGTCCTGATAGCTTGTTAGTTTTCTTTGGTTGATCCTACCCAAAAACAACCTTGACCCAAATATCAGGTTATCTTTTTCCTATTATAACTGTGTTGTGACCATCAATTCATCTGTCTTTACTAAGACTCATCCTTTCTTTAAGCCTGATGACATCCTTTCTCCTCAATAATTAATGAATTTTCCTACTTATATATGAATCTTGTAGGTATTATATCCCAATTCTCCCACTTGCACATGTATTGTATAATCCAATAAATCAAAACATTGCATATTAGAGCAAAAATATGCAGAATGGGTATTAAACTGATGGGGTATTAGTACAGAATTAAGAAGTCAAATCTATGTATCACTCAGTTGCAATATGAGGTAAGAATACACTTTAGCAATGAATGTGTATGCTTTTTACGATTTGTTCAGTGTGAGGACGCTGCCCCTCCTCACTGCTGTGATACTGGGGATTGAACCCAGGGTCTTTACACTAAACTACCTGTTTTTTGTTGGCAACAGCCTCTTACTATTTAAATTGCCCAGTCTGGACTTGAACTTGAGATCCTCCTTACTCAGCCCCCTAGAATGCTGGGAAAATAGGCATATACCATGATGCCTATCATTTCACTTCTCTCTTGTTATTTAATTTTCATAACACTATCCCTTCATCTTTGTGACTGCTTTCCTTAAAAAATCTTAAGAGGAGCTGAGGCTGTAACTCAGTAGTGGAATACTTGGCTAGCACAGCATGCATAAGGCCATGGGTTCCATCTCCACAACTGGAAAAAAAAATTTAAGAAATGTTACTTTTCATTACCCTACTCCTTGACCAAACAGTGCTACAACATGTGCACAAACTGAATGTATTTGCACATAAGCCCCAAAAGGTAAAATAACAGCCTGTGACTTGAGGATAGAGGGGAAAAAGCAGAAAGTATTCTGAAAGATGAATAAACTCACAAATATATATTAAAAAATAGCATAATAAAATCTTGTATCAAGTATTCTAATTCCCAGATCATTTCAATTAAAATAATTTGGGGCACTTGAAAACACAGAATTAGGAAGCAAAATGAAAAAAGGTCTTACGGTGAAGATTCCAGAACGATGCTATTAGCTTGTGTTGATGATGGAGATCTCTGACTCACGAAAACTTCACTTGGGGAAGTGTGAACCACATGGTCTACCAAATGACCAACGGAACATGGTCGTAATCGGGTTCCCTCTTGTGTGAATGTAGAATTTCGACTAAATGAAAATGAAGAAAAACTAAGTAAGTATGTTTCAATTTATTCAATTTAACTCTTCTAAGACTCTTCATTATACGACTGTATGAGAAAGTAACTATGTACTGTAAGACCAACTAAGTAGTCTGTGGTATAAATAATGTGATATAAACAGAAAAAACATAGAATGGGAAGTCAGAGTCTGGGCAGTACTATATTCAACAATCTCCCTGGAGGATGTTATCCACTCAATTATCTACTATCACTAATTTAGTTTCTAGGTTTTAGTTACTACAATTTCATGTCTTATTCAAAATTTATAAAGTTGATTAGAATAATGATTTAGAAATATCTTCTAATCTGAATTCTCTTTTCTTCTTTTTGTGGTACTAGGAATTAAGCCAACTTGGGGCTGGGGATTTAGCTCAGCGGCAAAGCCCCTGCCTGGCTAGCGCGAGGTTGTGAGTTCGATCCCTGGTACGGGAAAAGAACTAAAAAAAAAGAAAAAAAAAAAAAAAAAGGAATTAAGCCAACAGCCTTTACACTGAGCTACAACTCCAGTCCTTTTTTTTAACTTTTAGATGGTCTGCTAAATCTCTAAACTGCCCAGACTGGGATCAAATTTGTGATCATCCTGCCTCAGCCTCCCAGAGTACTGGGATTACAGTCATGTATCACCATGCCCGGCTCCTCTGTAATTCTTAAAGGGTTTTTTATTTATAGGAATTTTAAGTCCTAAGAGCAGTCATTAAATACCATGTATTTCTATCTTTAAAAATGACATTTATGTATACAATCACTGCTATTTAAATCACTAATTACAGGAACTAGTTGAGCACTTATTATGCACCACACATGTTCTAAGCATTTTACATATATCACCTCACTTAGTGCTCAAAATAATAATATAAGTAACACATCGTTATTATAAACACAAATTTTAGAAGAGAAAAATAAGATGGAAATTAACCAGGATTCAAATGTACAATGACTCTGGGGTCCATTCTCATACCACCCCCTGCCCATTTACTGTGTCTTTAGAAATAAAAAGATTTTTTTTTCAGGTCATACCTAAAATTATTTTATTAACCTGAAAACATGATCAGAGTTACTGCTAATTAATTTCCTCAATTATTTGGCTTAAATTTCTTGTATCTTCTTAATTTGCTTGTTGTACTTTAGATCTAAATGTTCCTCAAACATCTCATGTGTTCAGAGATGGGTTTTTGGAAGGTGACTGAACCACTGAACCACCAAACTCACCAAAGGATTGATTCATTGTTGAGTTCATACCTGAATGTGCTGTTAGGAAGTGAGGCTTGGTTGGAGGAGGTAGGTCACTTGGGGTGTTACCTGGAAGGGTGTGTTCTTATCTCTGGACCCTTTTGCTTTGGCTCTATCCTTCCTGTTTCCAGCTAATGTGAAATGGACAGCTTTCTTCTGTCATGCCCTTCCGCCAAGATGTTTCTGCCTTGGATCCAGCTAACTATGAATGGAATTCTCAGAAACCATGAGCCAAAATAAATCTTTCTTCCTTTAAATTTAGTAAAATTTAATATGTCATGTATTTTGTCCTAGCAGTGGAAAAGCTAACACATTATAAATGTTTAATGGTGCTGGCAAAAAAATGGAGAAATGCTAGCTACAAAAGGAAGCAGGAAAAAAAAGTTCTGAAATGCCTTCAAATAAGCTGATGAGTCTTTGTATAGCATACACAGTGTTAGAAAAATTATTTAGCAATCTACAATTACCAAGATAGAAACTACCGAGTACAATTTTTCTAACAGTAGGGAAGACACTTAGGTTATAAAGTTCTGTGAACCAAAGTGTTTATGCACATACTTTAAGTCCAAAATAAGTTTATTTTTCAGTTAACACCCATCAGTGACAGTGTTTAAGGCTTAGTGTTAACTTATTGAATATTAATATATGAAAAAATATTTCTAAAGGAAGACTTCTTCAAATATTATATTCTCACCAAAATTCAAGTATTTTATAAATGAATCTCTTGTATTAACAAAGCATGTTAATATGCTGACATATCTGTTTAGCATATTAATTATACACAGTACACTTGTTATTATTCTAAAATTAAGATAGTGCAATCAACAACTTTGGCTAGGACAAATTTACTAACATTATCTACACTAAAAGCATAGAGTTTTCATGAGAAATACTAGGCTAATGCTGAATCACATAGTTCTTTTTAGTATAGCTATAGCTAAACTTAGGGGACTAGTTGCAAATGCCTTTTTTTACATCACAGAAGTGGCACAGCCATGACTGGGAAGGAGTTTTTAAGTAAGAGAATTACAATCATTTGTAAGCATCTTCAATTTATGCTCTCTCGGGGCTGGGGATTTAGCTCAGTGGCAAAGCGCCTGCCTGGCAAGCATAGGGTCATGAGTTCGATTCCTGGTACTGGAAGAAAAACAAACAAAAAAACCAATTTATGCTCTCTCAAAAATTCTGTTGGGAAACCACATGGAAAAGGATTATGTAAATAATAATGATATAAAATTTGGCATTCACTAATATCTTGATTTATTTGCTAGGAATCCTTATTGTGAAAGGCAACTGTTGAAAAAAGTGAGGGTCCTTGTTCATTACTCCCTCATTTCCCAATACTATTCCATGCTACTTTTTCAATGAACAGCAAGTGAAGAGGAAATAATGCTCTGGAGCAATAAAAATCATATTTGATCAGAACAGTTAATTTTTTTCATATTTTGATCTTTAGGCCATGGAAATATACAGCCAATTATTTAGAAATTAGCAAAATGAAGACCTAACACTGTGTTTGGTTTTTACTTACTGATTAGGAGTTCCAGGTGGAGATCGTGATGGAAGGCTTTGGGTTTCTAACCTGTCATCAGATATTGAATTTCTGCTTACTGCTTCCCAATCCATTAATTTCCGTGCCAATGGCTTACTTGGGGATCTGAAGAAATATCAAATAATATGTAATGTGTTCATTTTTATAGCTCAAACTAAAAATCCAAAAATTTGCTTTAATCGGTCATAATCCAGACAATTACATTAATATTATAATTAATATTCCACAAATTAATTAATTTAGGTATTATTTACCAAATATCCTAGAAAGGGGCATTTGCTTTACATGCAGAATAAAGGGCAGACAAGCCAGAACAGAATAGAGAATAGGAGGAGGAAAGTAAGATAATAAGAAAAAGAAACAAAAACAAGGGAGTAGTTTGTTACCAAATGTTTCTTCAGATCTTATCAATATTATGGATAATGGCTATTCCTATACTAGAGTATCTGGAACTGTACTTACCATGGGATGTGTTAAACAATTCCTACCATAGTATCTTCTGAATGTCTAGAGATCCTGACCCTCTTCTTCAATGAGGACAGGACAAAAATGACAATTATACTTATTATATTTTATTTATAGTTTTCTTCTTTAAATATAGAAGGTCAGTGGAATATTTTTCTCTTTGTTTTACAAAAATGTTTTGGAAGGTTAACTGTTCTATCCTGTGGTAGGGAAAACAACATATTTCATTCCCTATAAAAATGTCTCTTGTCATAATGAGAACTAAACAATCTTTTAAAGAAAAAGATCTTGATATTAATCTAGACAGACTGGTCTATACAAAGATCAAAAGCCTTTAGAATTTTAGGATAGTTAAAAACTAAAGTCTTTTTTACATGTAAATTTAGATACTGATTAAAATTGAAAATATATGTCATCTATTTAAATAACTAGCTTTTGACGTGCAGAGTTAATAGGATGCTAACAAAATGAATGAAACTACTTACATAAAATATATAGTAAATCACCTTACAATATTATTTCTGTAATAAATTTACTAAAGTACATAAATTATTTTCCATTATAAGTTCTTAAAATAGAAATTCTGTTACCCTACTACAAAAACTAGATCATAAAAATTTATGTAAAATTTTAAAATCAGTGCTATTTTTGGTTATAGTTCAAAGGTTTATAGGTCTTTGTTATGTTAGTTTTGGTTTACTGTTAGATTTTTCCAATGGTAATAACTGCTTAGTGCTATACTTACTTTTTAGCCTATCAGCATTTATTAAAGTTGGTCATCATTTTTCCTATCATATACTATGCATGTATTCTTGAATAAATAAAATTTTATTTCAAGCAAAACATGAATTCAGTATTAAGCCATTCAATTACATTTAAACAATGAGATCATTATAAACTAAAATTTTACTGTCGGAAAGTTTGCAATTGCACTTTTACCTGAAGATTTCCTTTCTAATATGTTAAACACATAAAAAGAAATAATCTGACCTAAAATGCATAGCACTGACCAAATGATACTCCAGAAAGTATTATGAACATTACATACTGTTCATTACGAACATTACATACATTAGGAAGCATTAAAATGAGTAAGGACTTAACCCTAAATCCTAATTCTGCCCTGCCATCAACAGACAAATTGTTTAAGTTACTTTAAATTTACTAATACAATGTGATTCTATACTCCTCTTTACCTCCTGAATTTCATGACTGATGAGTTTCTAAATTTTCAATGCAATATTTTAGCCTATCAATTTTGCTAAACCATGAATAATTTAAATTACTTTTGAATACAAATGACAAAAATTATGTCCTATCATTTCAGGTTTCACAACTGTAAACTTTCTACTTTTACTTAATGATATCTCCTTAATTTAAAAATTGATGGCTACTTTTATTTTACTTACTATAATTTTCAAACATATTTAATTGTTTTAATCTAGTTTTTCTATTTTTTTTTTTTGAGACAGCGTCTTGCTATGTTGCATAGGCAGGCCTTGAACTGGTCATCCTCCTGCCTCAGCCTCCCAAGGATGTGGGATTACAGATGCATGCCACAGCACTAGGCTATTTCTACAAGTGATGTAAGGTTATTAACTAAGAAAAAAAAAAAAAAAAGACATTGACTCAGATTTCATTTCCCAGTAGTATTTAAATTCAAAGGAATTTAAGCATGAACCTCTCCCACTCAGTTTAAATTATAGGATTTTCTTTACTTGAAAACAATTCAGCATACCATTTAGTCTAGTTCCTTCACACTGTAGTGCAAATACTGACATTAATAACAACAAAATGAAAACCTTATATATTCAATTATTAAAATAAAATCTTAAACTTACCATGACTTACCATTCATGTATGGTTCTTCTATTAGTGCTAATCCTTAAGGTTTATAAAACTGTTCTTTCCTCATATATTAGACTACTAAATACAAGCTATAAGGCAGTTCACTAACTATAGTTAAGAGATCAGTTACTTTCATTTTCTAAGAGAAGAAAATATCCTTAGAAGGAAGAAAAAATAATCTAGTATACTCAAACTAGCATAAGTGGTCAGAACACTTTCCTCTTGTTAATGGACTAAACATGCTTGGAAATTCTTTGAATTTAAAACTAAATTTCAAGTATTTTATTTTATTAACAGTTTTAACCTCAGAGACCCACCCACTCAAACTTGCTGTCTATGCTTCCTGTTCAGTGTGGAAATTTCAGAGAAAAAAATACCACACTGCAGTGTGTTTGCAATGCGGTAAATTTATTTTCTGACCATGGCACCTTATTTTCTATTGTATGAGTACCCTGTTTCTCTTCTTAAATGTTATATATGATAACTGAAAAAGTGTGAAAGCAATTCAGAGTTGATATGTAAAAAATAAGTAAAAGAATAGCTTTATTACTGCTACAAAAATCTTAACCATATAAGTTTAAGGAGAAATCTTTTCTATCTAATTACACTACTAAATAATGCTAAGGAAGAAAGCATTCTAGAATTCTTTAAACTTTACCAAAATAACTTTAAAATTGCCAAAAGCACTACAGAATTTTGATAGGTAGAATTTACATCACCAAAATATGTTAATCTATGAGAAAAGCAATCCCAGAAAGGCTTAATCTTTCAGACAGATCATTAAAACAGCCCAACACCATCAAAACCTCTTCTCCCATGATGACTCATTTTAAGGAGAATTCATACAAGGCCAGGAAAACTGAAGCAATAAGCAGAGTCTTACTGTATAGAAATTCTAGATTTACTATTTATCAAATAAAGCACATTTATTTTATAAAATAAACTGATCAACTTCACATGTTAATAATATACAAAATAAACAATTAAGATGCAAGTATAATTGCATATTTTACAAATTTGATATGATCAAAAATATTAAAATACCTATAAAAAAGTATTTATATGGGATATCAACCTTAATGTGTAAGTACAACTATGATTATGTACAACTATTCACCACATTACTGTTTTTACTAAATATCAAGTAAGGAGAAAGTTAAGCTTATTGTTAGAAAGCAATGAAAAAGCTGTTATGTATTGATATGGTGCAATTATAGTACTAAGAAACAGAAAAATACTTTGACTTTAAAAAGTACTGAAATGTGTGTTGTAAATATGTTATGTACTAAAAACTAGAACAAGTCAGGCATCAACGGCTCCTCTGAAAAAAAAGGGGGTCAAGGCAGCTGATATGCAGTTCTGAGTGAAGGCCCTAGGTTCAATTCCCAGTACAGTGCTGAGAAGGAAAAACAAACAAACTGGAACAAATACATTTTAAACTAGAACAAAATTGAGAGGAAGTAAATTACTTCTCAAGAGAAATGAAAAGGACAAGTTTCTGTTAACCTTTACTGTACATTTATCTTTTAACAGGTTGTTAGCAATTTCCAACTGGAAAAAAAAAGGTATCTAACAGTGTAAATGGGAAGATCTTAAGTGATCTCAGTAGTCAGTAGTGATTTCAGTACTAAGATAAGCATTTTTGTGTGGATTTTCTCCCTTCCATAATAATCAAGCCACTACTGTGCTACTAATATTTATATTTAGTAAAGATAACATTCCCTCATAAATCTAAAAATAAGATATAATAAACTGACTTCAAAACTTTTTTGAAGAAATTCTGGAATAAACAATATCATTCAAATCAAGTAAATTTATCAGAGTAAACTGCTATAGCCCTAACCAGCTGAATCCTTCCCACATCAAGGGATTTCTACAGGCTACTGTTGAGTAGATTATTCATATACAAATCAAAAAAGAGGTAACCTCAGAACAAAGGGGGAAAAGAAAGTGAATTTTATTATCTAAATGCAAAAAACCATATTTCAATAATTTTTTGTTTCAAATGCCCTTACTTCCGAGAAGCTCAAAGTATTATTTATTTTTACAAGCATTGAGGACATATCATTGTGACAGATTCAAGTAGTCTTTAATAACCCCCAGGCAGATACAAAGCAGGGATAAATGATACAAACAGGAATCCTGAGGTTAAATCTGTATTTTATGACAAAAAATGTAGAAACCTGTGTAAAGACTTATTGCCATGGTAAATAACTAGATTTTTCAACATCAGAGAAAATGCACATGATATACTAAGTGATAAAGGTAAGTAACATAAAAAATGAAACAATTTTGAAACAAATGTACACAGACATATAAATATGAGTACATGCTCAGAAAAATTTTGAATAAATACCTAAATTTTTTAAGTGATTGTCTTGGCATGACAATTTTTCTTCATTATTTGACACTGCTGGGGTTCTAAACTATAATGACCCATTACTCATATTATTAGAAAAATAAGCGATTTTCACTTTGGGAGGGAATTAAAAAAAATAAAAACACAAAACTCCTTTTCCTCCAGAAACACAAACCAGGAAGGACTTTTGGAGAAAGACTAACAGCAAAGTTTAGGATCCCCTTCCCCTTTTCTTCTTTTTGATAGTACTGGGGACTGAACCTAGGGCCTTGCACATGCTAGCAAAGTGCTCTACCATACAGCTATATCCACAGCCCCTAACAGTAAAACTTAAACAAAATAAAATCAAAAGCAAAAATTATTTAGTTTTAAATTCTCAAATCTCTAATAGTATTAGGCACCAAGCACATAACTCTTTAAGGAAATGTCTGTATTTAATATACCTCTATCTAATTTGGATCATCAATATCTGTTAGATACCTCAACTTTCTTCTGATGCTCCCTTCCATTGTCAGCATCGTAGTTCAGGTCTTCATGACGTTTTGGATTACTGCAGTGATCTTCTCATTTGTCTGGGTATCCCGTCTATTTACTAATCTATTCTGTAGCTTCATAAAACTAGTTAAATCTTTCTAAAATGCATCAACTCATTTATTAAAAAGCCTACTGGCTCTAACAAACCCTTAAAAATGAAGATAATAAATGCTAAATAAATCAAAAGCAATTTAACGGTTTCTTAACAATATGATTTAAGTAAATATGTGAACAGGTTGGGGGATCATATGAAATGTATCATATTTCTTAAAAATGTTTCAAAAGAGCATCAATCTTTCAATAAAATGTTACATTAATAATGACACCCGATTTAGTCTACCAAAACTATAATACTTGGCACATGATTAATATTTATATATTTTAAAAATAATAAATTAGGCAAACTTGTTTATCATTCCCTCAATATAATTTATTATGTACTCAAGAAAAAGAATTGTGTGATCATTCTGCAATAACTTAGAGAACTTTTTTAATCCCTTGTAAAAATGCAGACTCTGAAACAGACTTGACTTACCTTGCAAATATCCTGTCTTTATTTGCCTTTTCTTTGCCATACTGAACTGACTGGACTTCAGTTCTCCCACTGAAATACAAAAATATGCATAACATCTTAAAAAGAGTAAGATAATGTGAGAACACACAATATGATCATGTTACAATTTTATAAGAGATAAGACATTTGTAGTAAAACAAAGGAAGGGGGCCAGGGGAACTGGGCATGGTGGCACATGTCTATATCCATAGCATCCAGGAGGCTGAGACAGGATTACATGTTCAAGGCCAGTTTGGACCACAGATTGAGACCCTATCTGCAGGAGGGGAAAAAACAGAAGCAGAATAAAAAGGAAAGAATGGAGTACATTCCAGTTCTACCTAGGTGCATGAAGCTTAATTATAATTTTTCCATAGACATTTCATTTTCTAATACTTCTCTATCAAAAGCAAGTACAAGAAGAATAGTTTTGCTTGAGAGAAATTCCTCCTGTGTTATATCCTACAAAGATATTCTTTTTCTAGAGTGAGAGCTAAATGTCATTTCCTCCCAAACAAGTCTTGTATTTAGCTAGTCTCTACTATTCTTAGTGAAAGGGTTGAAACATGGGGGATCTTGAAGAACTGTACTTTCTTTGGAATCTTCTTTTCTACTAATGATCACAAGTATGAAGAATGGTTAAAAGAAAAGGAATTAGGGGCAGAAATATTGGGTCGGGTACAGCCTTTCTAACAGCTATATAACAATTTCCCTCAATTAAATTTGCTTGAAGTATCAATTATTTTGCTCCTTGTCTAACTGAGTCTTGACTGATAATTTTCCAGTGGAGTAAATACAAATAAAACACTACTCAAAAGGTTGGAGAAAAAAGTTGAATTTTACAAAAAGGAGCAATTAAAAAACTAATGGCAAAAAGGCTTATATTATATATTGTCCATAACCTAGTCTCCAGGGTTTGAAATTGTTGGAACAAAATACAAAATCAAACCAGTCTCAGTACAATAAATTCTGATAGTAAGATACTTATTTTTTGAGCAGTGAGGAAGTACCAATTGTTCTCTCTCTCTCTAAGCAATTCAAGCAATGTAGGAAAGTATAACAAGAACAAAGCCTTACCCCAAAGAAATCATCATCCATATAAACAAGTAAATATCATTTTGAAATTCCTAGTGTATACACATTGAAAAGGATAGAAATATAGACACAATCTTATTATAATGTGATTATATATATATGCCATTTTAATTTTTTTGAGATTAGGGTATCTCAGTATTTTTGCCCTGGCTGGTCTCAAACTCCCAGGATCAAGTGATCCTCCTGCTACAGCCTACAGAGTAGCTAACACTACAGGCACATACCACCATGCACATAACACTTCAAATGATAAAAAGGTTAAACTGATTTCCTTTCAAATTGAGAAAGACTGAGACAGGACAGAGAAAGAATGCTATTAAGAGAGGAGCAGGAGAAAGAAAGATTAGGAAAACCTTAAGAGGTTTTCATTGAGGTAGAAAATATGTATTTCAAATTTTGTTAAAAGGGATTCAAATATTTCTTTCATTAACTTCTTCCTTTTATAAATTACAGTATTAAATTTACTTAAAGGTTTATGCTATTATAATTCTACTCTCTAGTTATCATTCTTACAGGTGCCAAAAATTGTATATTTTTAATATATATTAAAT